AAATTACGTTTTTGATGATGATTTAGTTATTTTATATATACATATTATATAAAAAAAAGTAAATAGGAAAAAAAAAAAAGAGAATTGGGTGAGTGAGGAGTAGGGTCATGAGAGACGTACCATCGTTGTCTTTGGAGGACGAACGTGGTGGTGGTGGTGGCCATTTGTCTGCTTTGTTTGCTAATGCTAACATAATTAGAAAGTGGACTAATTTCGTCGTTTTGATTTGGTTTAATTATTAAAATTAGTTTTATAACAGCGACAACGTAATGAAAATAAATAAATAATCGGTTACCACTTAACATCATGTGAATTCAAAATATATGCAATCATGTCAAATATGAAAATTACAAAACTTATGTCATTTCGGGTCAAACAGTCTAAAACAATTTTTCTGTGGCTGTGATCACTAAGAAAAAAAGTTAAGATACATTTAATGGTAACTATAGTTGAAACTTGAAAGATATTTAATTTGAAAAGTGGTTAATGCTTGCGATTGTTGGTTTAGGATGGACTTTTTGTTTTGAAGTTAGAAATCGCATTATTATATTATACTACTGTTTTAATCGATGTTTTAATACATTAACAAAATATCTATCCGAATTATGAGTCACTCGACCAATGTACTGTTTGGTTTCATAAATTAACTGAACAACGTAAATTAATATTGTGTTGTTTGTTTGGTGAATGAGATCACAAATCTATATTGAACCATTGATGTCTGACCACATGGGATAATTTGCAAAATCTTTTCTGTATTGTTATCATTTAAATGGGATGTCTTGTTTTTCTCTCTCTCATTCTACATAGTTTTTTTTTTTTTTTCTACATAGTTTAAAATTATTGGTTTGAAAGTTTGCTACTTTAATTTGCTTCATTGTGTTAGTAGAGTTAAGAACATTAATCCATGTTCGGATTGATTAATGTGAGGTTATAAGAAGGTGAAGTGGATTTAGGTTAGTTTAGAGACGAGGAATGTGTAAAGAAGTAAAAAATTACTCATTTAGTCATTTTATTCATTCAAAATGTTGTTTACTCATTCCATTCACGAAAATGAAAACGTTGGATTTTCATTATATTTAAGCGTCTTGAATATTATTTTCTTCCATGAGATAACAAAAAAGAAGAAGATACAGAAGCTTTTATTGATTGGATCTCTCGTTTTCAAGGAAATCGGTGTTACCCCATCACGAAATCTACAGTACATCTTGTCATGTCCTTACCCTAAAAAGTGAACAACTTTTGTTGTAACATCACCAATTGTTTTCTAACTTTTATATGGATGGATTAATATTCTTTTAAGGGATTAGAAAATTTCATACCTTTGGTTATGGATGGATTACATATTCTTTTAAGGGATTAGAAGATTTCATACCTTTGGTTGATGTATTTTTAAGAAGATTCGACACTAGGTTTGATAATTCGTAATTCAAACATTTTTTTTGGCTGGATTTTTATTAATTGTTACTATTGATATCCATTAATTAAAGTGGACGTTCCGTGGAGACTACGGACAAACGTTGATCGTTGGTTTGTTAGGGAGACTTAAAAAGTAATTTAAAAAATCTTAAAAGACATCGGTTTTTAAGATAATCTAGTCAAATAGAATCTTGTTCTCATCTCCTCATGTTGTGTCGGCAGTTTTCTTTTAGGTCCTCTATATATTTCATGGTTCAACATTTCATTTTATCAAACTGGTTTCAATATCTTTTATACAAGATTACGGCCATTCTATTCTCTCATAACTCTCATCCACTTCTCTACTATCGCTTTTTTTTTTGTTTATGCCGCATGTCATCATTTCAACGATGATACGGAGAGAACAACAATGTTGTTGTTTCTAACCGGTTTAGCACTACCATCATTCAATTATCGAAAATGACCGGTTTTCGTAACCTTTTTTAAAGCCAACTACATTACGCTCGAGCCCAAAGGTTTACACTATCTATAGAGTTATTAGATCAATGACTTAAAAGTTAATTTTTGATATTTTTAGTTTTAAAAAAAATTTAAATTTTGAAATGATTTATAAGAATTCAGATGTGTTAATTCTATAAAATATTTGTATTATACCTTAGATTTTGTTACGTTGTTTTGATGAAAGATTATTAAATATTTAAAGATTTCCAAAAAAATCAGTTTTATCAAATAATACTAAATTTGAATGACGAAGTTTATCAAATAATAGCTAGCAAACTTTTATCTAGAGCATTATTTACAAATAAAATAAAACCAAGTTTTACTTTTGACTAACATCAAAAACGTTTTTCTTTACAATAATAAATTCTTATAGTTTTAATAATATTAATTTATAAATGTCTGATGTTTTATTAAATAAAAAGGATATTTGTCTGGTAATAAATAAAGATCGCTACCCACTTCTTCATTTTGGAGTTTTGCTTTTAAAGTCAACAATGTTCTCCTTCGGAGCTAAGGTTCAATAATTTAATATCATTTAATTTTCCATTTCACTTAACATATTTTAGTGGACACAACTTTTTTGCCACCAAAGTCATCTCCTATATATTTCTATGAAGCATCCGCTCGTTAAAGTGTATTTTTGAAGACGTTTCCACGTAATTTGTGGCACGCAGCGATCGTTGATTTTTCAGCTAATTAAGTTTTTGTATCCGAAAACTTCTGACATGAATTGATTCAAATTTGGTATCAGTTCACCAATTCTTGCAAACTTTTTATGTCCACATCATAGCTATCTTCACGGTTACGGTCAAGTAGTAATATATATGATTTCACGGTTACTACTAGTCTACTAGATAAGAAATTAAACTAAAAGAAGTAATAAGCTGAAACTTTAGTAGAGTGGTTTCTCTACTACAGGTCTGCATCCCCCTTGATTGGCACCAACTTCGACCATAAATTTTGTAAATGAGATTAATATATGGGCCAATGAGAGAGAGAAGAAAACAAAAAAAAAAACTAAATGGAGTAATAAATAAAATGAATAAATGAGTATTAAATTTTGTTAGTAAAGTTTGGTAGTAACTCACTAAAAAATAATGTCATGTTCTAGCGTGAAACCAAACACGTGGATTGGTCGGAGATGTCTGAATTCACAGTGTTAGTAGTTAGGGTAACATCCGAGAAAAGTAATTCCAAAGCAAAGAATGTTGTTGAATACTTCCGATTTTAGTAACTGTGTTCCTAACTCCTTCGTCCTTACTTAACTTCTCCATGTCAAGATATCAACCAATTTTGGATCCATTTCTTTGTTTAACTTTTAGATTTTTTTTTTAAAGAACTATTGTAGTATTATCGTGATCCAAGGAGAAGTATCAAGTAGGTAGGGTTCTACAAGGATTTGCTCTTAGCTGTTCGTAGCCTAATCTCCTCTGTTCCTCTCGCTTAGATTTGTATGGTTCTCGACGCCTTTCATGTTTTTATTTTTTAAAACTACTCCATTTTTAGTTCATTTATCGATTTCAATAAATAAATTGAAATATAAACGATCGTGGGTTTGATCGTCTTTCTTTATCTTCTTACCTTTTACTCGTCCTTTCGCTTTCATAAAAAAATGAGAGAAGATATGTCTCTAGCTAAATTTTAAAAGGAACTTATGCGTTGCATTTTGGTACATCGTCTGTAATGTAGTTGGTGTAAGGAACTGGTCATTTCTCAATAATCGTCCAATGATTTTAGTAAACAATAATTGTAATAACCAATACAATAATGCCACTAAAGTTGCGGAGCAACCAAAATGTTCATATCAAATAAACATTAATTTGTCGTTTGAAAAAAACAGAATTAACAGGCGAATATATATAGGAAATATTCTGAAAAAGAAACGACGTACGAAGATATGTGTGTTAGTATATGTATATGTAATATGTGTGAGTGTTGTTGCGGGGAATCTGCAAAGGAAGATACAAGGTGGCTGCTTTATTTTTTTCTGCCTTTTGTTTTGTTGTCGAAGTGCCTCAAAGCCACATGTAATCCCACATGCCTCCTACGTCCTTCTTTTTTGTTTTTGGGTACATATCTCATCTATTTTTTCCGAAATGTTTTGGCCTTTTCAGTTTCTAGTTTAAAATTTAGATCAAATGCAAATAATCCATAATACATGTGCAATTTACGACGTAAATTAAATCATCATCTCTAAATTTCTAGCAAAACTGCAAAAGACGCATACCATAACAATGAGATTTACATTCAAGATTTATGATTAAGGTATATATTGAACGGATGTACTATGTTTAGTTTTTCTTATTGTTGTTGTTATAACAACATATAGTATATTGGGAAAATTACACGACATCAAGACAAAGTATTAGACTATAAATTTTGGTTAGCTTTTGCTAGTTAAAATCGAAAACTTCATCATATCTTAGCTAATGTTTTCTAAGACTTAAAAACCTTAAGGAAAACTACTTTTGTTATATAACATTTTTTATTATAATCGAAAAAATAGAAATTGTTCGACTTTGGTTTTAGAACCAAAAACTAAAATATATCCCTCAAAATTAGTCCACATCCGTTTAAACCTATAGAAAAACTTAAATCGGAAAAAGTGATATGTGGTGATTTATATTCTCTTTTAGAAAGGAGATTGAAGCTATCTTGCATGCAATTTCTTTCACTTTGTGTGTCAACTTTTGCCGGCCACTCGGCGAATATTCCTATTTACATCTACTCTTCTCTAAGCCTTTTAGATTCTATCCAAATTTCATTACAATTCATTTTTCTACAGTTACTATTACTATTCAACCTCGAAACCTTTCTATTTCTGGCTTCTTTGATTTTTTACAAGAATATTCCATGATTCGCGAAATTATGCATCTTCAAATCCATATATATTGGGCCTAAATGTGGAAAACTAGGCGGCCCATTATTAAGTAGCGCACCGCCTTGTAGCGAAACAGTGCTGATATAGAAGTTTACTTTTCCTCCTCGGGCGACACGTATATATCCAGGTGGCGACACGTGTTAATCAGCATGGTAAAACACTAAAAATTTGATGAGCTTAATTAACAAAACTAGTAAGTTAAGTATCAAACGAGTCAGCGACACGAAGTAACAAGTAAAAATGAAAAAACTATTGGCCTTGTGTCTTGTCTTGAGTACGTTATTTTCGATGGGTCACTGCGCGGTTTCGGAGGGTGACATCATCGTGAAAGATGGTCACCGCGTTGTTGTGGTGGAGTACGACGGAGACGTCGAAACCAACACTAGAGTCTTGATTTCACCTCCGGGAAAAGAAGAAGAGAAGAGAAGAGACGAAGGGGAAGTGTTTGGAAATGAGAAGAAAGAAACGGCGTCGTCTCTTCCAGAAGAGGAGGAGCGTGAACACCACGCGTCGCCAGGGGAACTTATATGCGATGCGATCGGTAAGTGTAAGCACAAGATGGCGACTGTGTTAGGGAGAGTCAAGGATCGAACGGCTAGTGATCTTTCCGAAGAGAAGATAGGACGTGAGGCACGTGACGTGGAAGAAAAGGTCTCAGGGACAGCACATGAAGCTAAGGAAACGGTGAAGGAAAGGGCCACAAAGAAAGCTCATAGGGTCCAAAAAGTTTTGGAGAATTCGAAGGTCGCGGTGCGGGGGATAGGGACGGCGGTTGCGGCGGCTCTGGGGCTGACGAAGATCGGGAGCGTGGTGGGAATTGTTGGGATCGCGGCAGCGTATGGGATGTGCGTGTGGGTGACGTTCGTGTCGGGCTACGTGTTGGCTTCGGTGCTTGGGGAGCAGCAATTCGGTGTGGTGCAGAGCAAGATGTATCCGGTGTACTTCAAGGCAGTCACTGTAGGGATTTTGGTTGGGTTGTTAGGACACGTCATCAGCCGGCGCCGGAAGGTTTTTACCGATGCGGTGGATATGTGGCAAGCCGTTAACCTCTTGGCCTCGATCTTGATGGTCGAAGCTAATGCGTCATTTGTTGACCCACGAGCCACCAAGGTTATTTATCACTCCCAATTCATTTATTTTAAGATTGAAGATATGAAGTCTAGGAAATTAAATCTTAAATTTTGTCTATATGGCTTCGGTTGTTTGTTTACGTTTAGGTTTAGTGTGTATTACTATTTTCTTCCAACTTTTAATAAGCATGGTAAACGAGTTAATATGTTTATTTGTTAATATTAGAGGTAAAATGCCTAAGACCACAATAATTCTTGGGCAATTCCATCTGCGAGTAAGACTATTTGAAACGCCATAGACATCTTTTGTAAAAAAGTTTTTGAAAATTGATGAAATTGTTTTATTTTTCATCTTTTCAAAAAAATAAAAATGTACATTTTTTCAAAGACATAAGGTTTCAAATAGTCTTACTCGCTGATGGAATTGCCCAAGAATTACGTAAACTGCTTAAACAAACTTTATAACCCTCCCCTAAATATTGGATTTGGACAACATTTGTTGTTTCTTGTGATTGAAACTTTTAGGTTTATCGTAATATTTATTTTTGGTTGTGAAACAGGCAATGTTTGAGCTGATAAAAGCTGAAAAGGAAGAAGGAAGAGGACTTGATACGTCAGAGACACAGTCTAGTGAAACAGCAGCTCGAACCAGAGGTAAGAAGAAGGTTACAGAGAAGATGGATCAGGATGCGGTGAAGCAGAGACTGACAAATCTGAGCGAGAGGATGTATAGGTTAAATGCGTACTCGTCGCGGCTAAATTTACTAACTCTGATGTCTCTTACTTGGCACTTTGTGTATCTCGGCGATCGACTTAGCCTTACTTGTTGACTGTTGAGGGATCAAGCCACTGATAGTTTTTGTTTGTGTGGTTTAATGTTTGTGTTATATGTCTCCTCCTCCTTTTTTCAAGCTAAGGTTGAGTAAATTAAAGAAAATTAAATTTGTATAGAGAGAATTGTTTTTGCTTTTGCAGCATTACACATAATGAGAATGAATAAAGTAAGAGTAGAATCCAGTCTAGAGTGTGAGCATAGAGTCCGAGGCAGGTTAATAGGTGGGCATGAGTCCTAGTAGCTTTGCTTTCGTAGTTTTATTGATGTCGGAGGCAATGGAGGCTACACTCCGACTCCGAGCAACCGAATTGTGTGAAGTCGTGAGGTTTCTTCTTTCATATGAAGTACAGCCGCAGGGCCCTGTATTTGTAACAGCTAGTGATGATTCTGATTGACATCGTAAGATGCCGAGAACAATGTATTGTGATGCTTATTTCACACAAATTTCAAGATCTGTCTCCATGTTTTGAATATCCCTTGGGAGATTGAAAGGATAGAGTACATTGAAGAACTCTTAATAAGTCTAAAAGAAAGATATCTCCCAAAGATTCTTTAGATTCTTGTTTTTGGTGCAATTAGAGTTAGCTTAAGCTAATGTGCATATGACACTATAAGATTCGTCTAAGTTAAAATATATATAATCCAAATAGATAACATATGCAATTAGTGACATTAAGTTTAAATATATAAATTTTCATATCTACTATACATTTTTGCAACACTTTTTGGGGTTCCTAATCGGGTCAAATTTTGTTTAATTTTGACCCGGAAATCTTCAATCGGATCTTTCCTTATTTTTGACAAAATTAAAAAACGAAAATTAATCAATAAAATCAAAAAAATATATATTTTCTCAACTAATTACTATACCTAAACTCTTTATTTATGGCATATTCTCTACAATTTTTATAGATATAGAAATCAAATATGATTATTTAATGCTAATATAACAAATTTGAACTAATTTCCTAAAACCTCTCTACCTAATTAAAACATAAATATCTGATTCTCATTTCACTTTTATATGATCTTATATTTATATTATTTTAAACTATTATAAAATATATATACTTAATGAAAAAATTCGATTTTTTTCTGCATATGCTATGATTCAAATTTTTTAAAACGGACATATTACTCAATCGATGAAGAAAAAAATATGTGTACAATCTATATTAACATTTTTGAAAAACAAATTTGCGCGTTTAATCAGGTCGTATTTTTTTTTTTACTCTGACCCGGAATTGAGTCATTCAGATATTTTCTTAATTTCTACAATTATCTAAAACGGGACAATATACCACGGTGAAATCTTAAAATTAACAAATCGAAATACAATTATTTAGTATTTTAATATACATTTTAAAAATATTTTTACGGGTTGGTCTAAAAACACACACTAATTTGAAAATATATATATATATATTATAGAAACTATTTGAAAGCAAACTTTTAAATTGACTCGAATTATATGTCTTTTAAATAAAAGTGTTATTAAAAGAAATAACAAAATGATGTTTAATTTTACGGGACATGATTATATGGTGGGACGGGTCGGATTTGGATTGATATTAATACGGGATAATATATCACGGGTGAAATCCTGGGATTAACAAATCAAAATACAATTATACAATTTTAAACACAAAACAAAACAAATACAACTTAAAATTTTCATTTTTAGTTACAACGCATGTGACTCGCAATGTACAACAAAAAATATTATATACAACAAATTCATCAGTTTATAAAAAGACAAAAAAAATTAAATAATTAACCCGCGGTGTACCGTGGATAACAATCTAGTAATTGTTATTGTAATAATGTTCAATATTGAATATATTTTGTTATAAATTCATTTCCTTATAACCATATGAATTAAAGAAGAGGATTTCATGAAATTTAAGTAAAAACGTTTTTAGTTATTGATGTCTATATATATTGTTGGAACAAAAGTTATGTTTAGATAATTTTAATAGCAAAGATAAACACGTAGATATTTTTCTCTCTTATTTTGTTAAAAGACTTAAAATAATACAAATGTTGCCTTTCTACAAGTTATAAACTATGAATAAATAATTTTAAATAGAAAGGTAACTAATTTATGACAAAAACAATAATGACATAATTGAAAAAATAAATTATTTACATAACAAAATTTGTCCTCTTCTGGTCAACAGGACTGTTTCAAATTAAAATGAAATTTAATTAATATAGTATAGACTTTGTCCAAAAAAAAAAAAATTAATATAGTATAGACATAAATTCTTGGAAAACAATTACATATATTTTTTAAAAAATTGAAAGACAAAATATTATTAAGACAGAATAACGGTAAAAAGAATTTTATGTTTTTTTGCATCCGATGATGTTGAAATCAAACTATATCATTCGGCAAAGATTAGGCTTTTAGACAAATTTATGATTGCTTTAATTATAAATATAGTATTATTTATCAAATTGCTACAAGCCTAGAATCTATTTTCTATTAATTTCTGAAGTAGATATATACATTCAATCGATTGTCGATCAATTTATGAAATACATAAGCGAGATAGTTTTTTTTTTTATTCATCGATAATAAGCGAGATACATTATGTTGAATGAAGATAATGAATAATAAACAAGCGATTATTGATAATTTTACTGTATTAATATATAAAGGATATCTTATTTAGCGAATTTGTTACAAGTGATCATCGATTGTCGATCAATTGTCAAAGCATATAAGCAAGATAATGTTTTATTTGGTAGAAAATAAGCCAAAAGATTCTCTATAAAATAGAAGACATTAGGCTGACTGAGAAAAAAAAGAAATGAAATTAAAATAGCAAACATATAAGGGAGAAAATCTTCCAAAATATAAAACAAATCTGGTCATAAACCGAACATATCATATTACACCACACAAAGGCCAAAGAGATTCATATCATTCGATCCTAATCCTTCTGATGAAGAGTGCACAAGCAAATCATAGAACATAATTTTTAACATCATCAATCCAAAGCAAACCATCTTAATCTGAAAACAATTAAAAACCATGAAATAAACAAGATAAAATATTATTTGAAAACATCCTACTCTCTCTTAAGGATTGGTGCTCCTGCTTTTACAGCCTTGATTCTCTCTATGATGGCTTTGTGCTTCTTATCAACCACATCGGCCGCTTTGGCCAGTTCCTCCGAACAATCAGTATCGGTGATTAGATCATTAGACGCAGCCATTAACCCAAGTTTCATTGCACGAGTATGCATCTTCTCCTTCTCCAACTTCTTCTTTGCGTCTTGGATCATCTTGTTCATGAGATCCTTCTGGTCCATCATGTATTTGGTCTGTTTCTCCACTGGAAGCTCGCTTAACCTGTTAAGAAGAGAACGAACCTCGTTAACGTTTGGCCAGAGCTCAGGGCCATCTTTGTATTCGCTGTAAATGATGGCACAAGCTGGTAAACCACATAGAATGGTCAGTTCTTTGATCTTTTTGAATAAACCATCTTTGCGTTTTCTGAATGTAACTCGGCGAGTGGCGTTGTCAGAAATCAATTGGTGTGTAACTTTTCTTCTGCCCATGGTGAAAAAAAAAAAAAAGAAGAGAAGAGGATTTGTGTGGTTTCAGGGACTAGAGGGGTAAAATGTTATATAGAGAGTTTCTAACTTTGATTTTGGCTAGGTCCACAAAAGACGTTTCAACATTTTTTAGAAAGGTATTTTTTAAATATAAAACGAAAATTATAGAAAGGTATTTTTAAATATAAAAAGTAAATTATAGAAAGGCTGTAACAGAGAAATGCATATAAAGTTTAAGGGAAAATATAGCTATAAAAGCTTTCTCAATAAGAAGATTTTTATTAATTTCTTTTCATTTTATTAGGTATCTTTTGTTGGTTAGTCTAGTGCACCTGTAAAAATGGAAGGTAATATTTGCCTATTAATGTCCCTATATATGTTTTACCATATTAAAAAGTTTGAACTTTTTTTTCTTACACTAGACCAATTACAAGAGGATATGATGAGTTGTATATTTGTAATGTTGTAGACATGAAGTTATTTACAAAAATCTTTTATTATACTGGCGACAATAAATTAATTTATCATACCTGTCAGTAAAAATTATAATTGGTAATCACAAAAGCCTATGCGTGGACAAAGAAAATTTGTAAAAAAACTGTGTGAGACTTAAAAATATATAAAAGGAAATATGTAAGAAAAGTTATGTAATTATTTATTCTTACATAATTATTTATAAGAGTATCTGTAATTTTGTTTTTTTTGTACATTTAGTTACATTGTAGTATTAAATATTTTCTGCCATTATTAGTCATAAGATATTCTGTCATACATTACTACTTTTTTTTAACTTTTCTAGCTATTGTTAGGCTATTGTGATTGCTAATTTAAAATTTGACTGATGTTGATGCACGAATTTCAACAAAGTATATTTGTAAGTTCTTTGATAAAGGAAAAACATTCTCATTGCGTTGAAGGTCGGGAGCTAGGCCGTTCTCGCGATAAACATAGAATTTATTTGTTTTATAGCTGCGTCTTGTGAAAGACTGCCTACGTACCCTTAGAAAGGGATCAAGCCATTCGTAGTTCATATTAAAACAAGTGGGAGCTAGGCCATATTTGCAGCTAGGTGATCTGTTGACATGCTGGATAGCTTGGGGACGATTTGGACGAGCCGAGCTGTTAACTGAGAAGCTGGATGAGCTGAGTAGTCAGCAGAGAAGCTGGACGAGCTGAGCTATTTAACTGAGAAGTTGGACGAGCTGAGCAGTCAGCAGAGAAGCTGGACGAGCTGAGCTGTTTAACTGAGAAGCTGGATGAGCTGAGCAGTCAGCTGAGAAGCTGGACGAGCTGAGCTATTTAACTGAGAAGTTGGACGAGCTGAGCAGTCGGCAGAGAAGCTGGACGAGCTGAGCAGTCGGCAGAGAAGCTGGACGAGCTGAGCTGTTTAACTGAGAAGCTGGATGAGCTGAGCAGTCAGCTGAGAAGCTAGACGAGCCAGGCTGTTTAACTGAGAAGCTGGATGAGCTGAGCAGTCAGCTGAGAAGCTAGACGAGCCGGGAGATGAGATTGACGATCTGGATCGTTAGGCGAGCTGAAGAGCTTGAAGACGAGCTGAAGAGCTTGATGACGAGCTGAGGAGCTTGAAGACGAGCTGAATAGCTTGCAGACGAGCTGAAGAGCTTGATGACGAGCTTAAGAGCTTGATGACGAGCTGAAGAGTTTGATGACGAGCTGAAGAGCATGATGACGAGCTGAAGAGTTTGATGACGAGCTGAAGAGTTTGATGACGAGCTGAAGAGCTTGATGACGAGCTGAAGAGCTTGAAGACGAGCTGAAGAGCTTGCAGACGAGCTGAAGAGCTTGAAGACGAGCTGAAGAGCTTGAAGACGTTTTTAGTATGGATTTCTTCTCCTTTTTTCCTTTTTCTTTCTTCAATGAGATGCCTCTCTATTTATAGGAAAACTAAACTGGTGAGAGAAACAGGGACCAACTTTTATGGGCTTTTTTGGGCTTGATGTTTATTAAGTTATTCTTGATTTGGGCCGAGCTAAAATAAGGGGTGCAATCCAGCCCCCAACAACTGACATATGTAACAGGTGTGCATGTATGTAAATACACCACATCATATCCTCTTCTAATTGGTCTAATGTAAAAAAAAAGGGTAAAATTTTTCTAGTATGGTAGAGCATATATGGGAACAGTAATAGGCAAATAATATTTAGTTACATAATTCTTAGCTTTTGTTTTGTTACTCATTGTAAATTTTGACTAACACCTTAGCCAATTTACTCGATTGATATAATATTAGTTATATATATACTGATTCACTTCACAGTTCACACATAATAGGTGTGTTTGTATGTAATTATGTAAAAGCTAGATATGTATAAAACAGGAAGAAACAGATATTTTGCCCTACCTTAAACCCCTAATTAACAACTACTGTCCTCAAAGTTTTCTAGTGAACCGTATTCAAAAAAAAAAAAAAAAAAAATCAATAACAACTAATCGTGCAAGAGAGAATAAACAGTGAATGGATAGGGCAAACAATTGAAAATCTGTGGAATATGTAATAGACTAATAGTTAGATTGAAACGTACCGTCTCACCAAGGGACTCCTTAAACATCTGCAAGCTATTCTGACCGATTTGGTAGATTTGTTCGTTTTACTGTCGTCAACAATGAAATAATATAAGAACGTTTTAGATATCTGAAATTTACGGGTTACGTACTTTCAACAACAAAGCAAAACAATTCAAAAAAAAAATAATAATTGAAGAGTTAGACAGTAAGGTTTTTTTTTTTTGCAATTGACAGAGTCTCACGCCAACATATCATGTTGAACTACTAATAACGATACATACAACCATCGTTTTGGTGCCATTGCTATCTTTTATCGCCGGTGACACTCTAAGAAACGGATCTAAGTTTTTATAGAGGAGATATAGATATGTGGTAAATGAAATGAATGGTGGATAATCTTTTATTTATTTAACAATTAGACGATTTTTTTTTTCGTAACGCTTTTTTTAGGTATGTAATCTTTAGTTTTGTATTTTTTTTTTTCTGTTTTGTGACGCGTGTTGAAAACCATTAATATAAAATTAATTTACATTTAAATTTTGTGAAATAAGAAGATATGCATATATGGTGAAATAAAATGAATGATACAGTTTATTTGTTTGTTTATTTAGTAATTGGACAAAAAAATATTTCTTGTAACGCTTTTTTCATGTTTGACACGTTGATTTTTATTTTTTTTGTGATGCGTGTTGTAATACATTGATATGATTATTAGCTTTATTTAATATTTTTAAAATTTATGAAATTTACTCTATGACACCTAAAATTGATAAAATTTCGTACTCGCAATAGAAATTTCATGGATTTAGTGATGAGAAGAGTTACATATGGAACCCCCCCCCCCCCCCCACACACACACACATTAACTAGTATATTAATTAATTGTTTGTACAAAACTATTGGTATATTTATCTGCATGGTTGTTCTTTAAGATAGTTAGAGATCTTTTTTGGGAAGTAAATAAATTTCCACTAAAACTTAGACAATTAAATTATTAGAAACACTAGTATAGTGCCTTCTGAGTTCTGAAGAACATTTAATGCTTGTTTGTATGTTTTCGTGAGCTTCAAAATATTACCTCTCAGATTCTTTTAATGTTGTTACTGTTAGGTTATGATGAGGCCATTTATTGATCTTCCGCATGTGTCACACGGTTAATAGTCTAGGCGCGACTTACCATCCTAACTCCTAAGGATTCGCCATCATTGATAAAAGCATTGTATGATAATTGATAAAGGGTTCAGACAAATAGGCCCATATTTCGGCCCCTTTTGATTTCTAAATAAATTGGGCCCATAAAAGTCATAATGTTTAGACCCGAGAGAAGTAAAAAAGCAGAGAACGTGAAGTTCTAAACGTAACTCGTATAACACGTTCATCAGCAAAATTTCCTTTTCCTTTAGACTTTAGTGCATGCAAATAATATAAAGATTTTCATCTTCATTTTCTACGTCAAAACTTATTCCAAAAACAAAAATTGACATCATAAAAAATGTCTTGGAGAAACAAATCTATAATCACAAAATACGGTTCAATCAGCACAGCAGTATGCAGAATTTTTGTTGCTAACATAATTTATGCATGCGAATTTCGAATATTAGAAATCGGCACAACTATTTAAAAAAAAAAAATCGTCGCAACAGTTTTTCTGGTAACAACTGATTTTTGGATAGTCAGATTTTTTTTTTTGGTTTTATGAAAAGACAAAGTAACAGTCAAAATCCATCTCCTCTGGTTGGCGCAATAACATAGCTGATAAGTTTTTTTTTTTCTCTTTTCCAAAGCTGATCAGGTTTCAACTTGAAAACAGAATAAGAATCAATCTATATTGACTATTCAAAATTGAAATACAGAAGATTAATTCTGCCATGGGTAATATTGTTTTGACTATTTGACTGATCTATCACAAAAACCCTATAAGACAACTTAGCAAAAACGAAATTTAGGACCACAGGTCCACAGCTAAAGAAAAAGAAACAACCAATTCGTCAAATAATCTATTTTGGTCTGATTGTGGACAATATTATTCTGGGCTGTATGTGAACAAATACATTCATTACCTTGCAGCTTGCAAGTAAAAGGAAGAAATGAAGTGACAGCTCCTCAGAAGATAAGAATAATTCGATCATGAATACGGAACACGGCGACAAATGGTCGAAAGAGACGGCAAGTGGGAATTTCAGAAATGAAATTAAAAACACAACTACGTACATATTAAATATTCCAAATTACAATCAAATACATGTATATATTTTTAAGATGTTACCGACTTAGTCTCAGCATTCATACAAATGTTAAATGTTCATAAATGTTGTGATACTTTTTTTATTGTTAAAGAATTTTATAACTTTTCAATAAGATCAATTATATGGTGGTCTTGTGATTAAAAAAGAAGTGAATTTACAAATAAAATGGTATGTCAAAATGGTTAAGCTAATAGATTGAATGCTACAAGGATTCTGGGTCGTGATCCAATAACCCCTGATGTTTATATATATATAGCTTAACCATTTTGACATACCATTAATCAAGCTATATATATATATATATATAGCTTAACCATTTTGACATACCATTAATCAAGCTATATATATATATATATATATATATATATAGCTTGATTTAAGAATAAGTCGTGATCCAATAACCCTTGATGTTTGACTTTTGATTGAATAAAATGACAAAAAGAATTTGCTGATACAGAACAAAACATGACAAATATCTAGCTCGTGTATCACTTGTCCAAAGGAAGTATGCGTATTATTGCGTAATTATAAAAAAAATTATTGACAAATAGTTCGCATACTTATTTTTGACGGCGTATACGTAGTAGCATACACATCTCACATTCCAAAAAATATACACATAAAAGAAAGACTAGAAAAAGTTTACTTAACCAAAAATATCATAAATTCATTTAATCGTGTTCACTAATTACGCAAGACGACGAGAGTTAGCTTCAACCTCTCATTTATCCTTTAAAAAGTTTTCACAGAGATTCTCAACCTCTATTGGTGAGAAATGAAGATACCAGAGGAAGAAGTTACACTTCTTGAAGATTATGTCAGTGATTCCGTCGACCACCGTGGATTGCCCGCCGGGAAATCTTCCACCGGTGGATGGAGATCCGCCTGGTTCATTATAGGTAAAAGACATCAGTCCAATCATTTTTTTTTCTAAATCCTAAAAACACTTCTAAATCAGAGTCTTTAATGATTTTTTTTAGGTGTGGAAGTTGCAGAGAGGTTTGCTTACTTTGGGATTGCCTGCAATTTGATTACTTACCTAACCGGACCGCTCGGACAATCGACGGCGACTGCTGCCGTGAACGTGAACACGTGGTCGGGGACTGCCTCTATGCTGCCTATTTTAGGAGCTTTCGTAGCTGACGCTTATCTTGGTCGTTACCGTACAATTATCGTAGCTTCCCTCATCTACATACTGGTTAGTATCTTCGTCTTAATATAATTAAACCGGTTTGACTTTGGTACGATTTAAACCGGGGTTTTATCTGAATTTCGAGGATTATTATTATTTACAGGGGCTAGGATTATTGACATTATCAGCTTCTTTAATCATAATGAGATTATCTGAGCAACGTAACAACGGTTCTGCTAAACCATCTATTTGGGTGAATACACTTTTCTTCTGTTCGCTGTATTTGGTGGCGATTGGACAAGGTGGACACAAACCGTGTGTTCAAGTGTTTGGTGCGGACCAGTTTGATGCTTATGATCCAAAGGAGGTAATAGCGAGAGGGTCGTTTTTCAATTGGTGGTTCTTGAGTTTATCTGCGGGAATAAGCTTATCGATTATTGTGGTCGCGTATGTTCAAGAAAATGTTAATTGGGCGTTTGGGTTTGGGATTCCATGTTTGTTTATGGTTATGGCTCTTGCTATCTTCTTGCTCGGGAGGAAGATATATAGATACCCTAAGGGGGGTCTCGAGGATGTTAATAGTAGTAACACTTTTACTATTAACACTTTTGCGAGAATCGGTAGAGTTTTTGTTGTTGCGTTCAAGAATCGGAAACTGAGGTTAGAACATTCTGGTTTGGGTTTGGATCAAGTTCTATTGGAGGATGGTCAGTCCGAGAAACGTGAAGGTCGGCTCAAGTAAGTTCGAATTTTGAATCTTTTGAGTTTTGGTTTAGTATTTTGGCTTAATTTTGAGTGTAAATTTATTTACATTGTGTGACGAGTTTTCTAGCAAAAGCGATGATCTCAAGAGAAGAAGATGCAGAGCCATGTAGTGGTAGGGACGTGGAAGACGCGAAAGCTTTGGTAAGGCTTATTCCGATATGGATCACATCGGTTGTGAGCACGATTCCGTACGCTCAATACATTACTTTCTTTACGAAGCAAGGTGTCACGGTGGATAGAAGAATCTTACCGGGGGTAGAAATCCCAGCGGCTTCTTTATTGTCATTCATTGGTGTATCGATTCTCATCTCAGTGCCGATCTATGAGCGTGTATTTCTCCCGATAGCCAGAATGATTACCAAAAAGCCTTTTGGGATCACAATGCTCCAGAGAATAGGAGCTGGAATGGTGCTTTCAGTCTTCAATATGATGCTCGCGGCATTGGTAGAAACGAAACGGCTAAATATTGCTAGGGAACACGGGCTCGTGGACAAGCCGGACGCGACCGTTCCAATGTCCATATGGTGGTTCGTCCCTCAGTATTTGCTACTCGGGATGATCGATGTGTTCTCTTTGGTGGGAACACAAGAATTCTTCTACGACCAAGTCCCAACGGAGCTAAGGAGCATTGGTCTCTCGCTTTCTTTGAGCGCCATGGGTCTTTCGAGCTTCTTGAGTGGTTTTCTCATCACTGTGATTGATCGGGCCACAGGAAAGGACGGCTGGTTCAACACTAACCTGAACCGAGCCCATGTCGATTACTTTTATTGGTTGCTCGCCGCTTTCACAGCCATTGCTTTCTTTGCGTTCTTGTTTATCTCCAAGATGTATGTGTATCGTCGGCTAGACTAAGTCTAAATTCAGAAGACAAGTTTTGTTGACTTTCATATCATATTTGTGGTTCTAACTAGTAAGTTAACGTGTTTCTAGTTTGATTTGTTTTATTAATAAGATATAGAATCGGCAAGTTAAATATGATCAGGTAGATGTGCCTACAAAAAAAAAACATATCTATCATTGCTTGTGTTTGGATAGGATAGCATTTATTCTTAGTTTCATAACACCGATGGGTCCACTGGTTTGAAGATATTAAGACCATCTCCAATGGTGAGAGTTCTCCCATGAGCTCTCACCAATTTTTTAATATAAGTTTTGTCAAATTTTTAAATGAGAGCTTGTGTTTTTTTTTAAAAAAATTTCATACTCCAATGGTGATCTCTCTCAAGTAGGTTCTTAAAAAAAAAAAAAAATCAAACATGTAAAAATATATATGGTTCTAGCTTCGCAAATGATGAAGCTAGATGATTTTCTGAACAAACTGCAATGCAAACTGATCAACTGCAGCCATAGCTTGACAAGCTGAACCAATTGATCCATCATATCTGCAGGAAGAAATCATAACCATCTGCAGATTTCCAAGTCCTATTATCAAACCACAAATACTCTCCAAGCAAAAACAGAAAAAAAAAAAAGTAAACAAAGTTTTACATTGATTGGATCCAAGAACAAAGGTCTCAGTAGGAAGATTGCCACGTCTCATGAAATCGATAATTGCTTTAGATCAAGCTGATCATATCAGATAAAATGTTGGTTCTTGATTTCTCAAAGACATGGTTTTGATGCAATCTTTAAAAGGGATTTCAAAGGAGATCTGTTTTTGTTTCTACTTTAGGATGAAGTTATCTTGAAGAAGAACTAATGACTTCAACGTGAAGCTTATCGTTTATGGGAGGCTCATCTACTGGGAACTGAAAATCTTCATCCCATCTCGGTTCTGTTTTTCTTCACACGCTACAAAATCAAACCAAAATTTGTAAATTTGATGTTTTGATTTTAAATTTAAGAGAATATCAATCCCTTCTTGTTCAGCTCTGCAAATAACTCAAAATTAAGTAAGCCTGAAGACCTCTATCTAAATCATACTCCCTCCGTTTCATAAAGAGTGTCGTTTTAAGGTTTTATTTTTGTTTCACAAAGAGTGTCGTTTTAGGTTTTCAATGCAAAATTTAATGATTTTTTATGTTTTATGACTATTAGTATTCTGCATATTGTTTTACTATTGGGCAGATTATGTTTAGGTACATAGTTAATGATGTTTTTGTTTTGAAAAAACAAAAATTTTAATGTTTTTTTTAATCTGTGTGCAAAACTCTAAAATGACACTCTTTGTGAAACAGAGGGAGTATATAGAAGCATACATCAAAGTCTCGAGATATTACCACAAGCCTTAAAGAGAGATATTAATCAAAGACGGGAAAAACAAAAAGCAACGAGCCTCAGACTAATTAAAGAATTCATATTAGTGGTGAATCAAACAATGTGGACAGTCTTTTTCAATCATCAATGGCTCTTTATCTAAACCAAGTTCACAAAAATTAATAGTGATATATATAAAGCACACACCTTCACTTTGGTAGCATATATATAAGACTCATGATTGTTTCTTAACTCAGCCGTTCTTCTTCTTTACCTTATTTTGTTCATGAAACAATAACAAGTCTTAAGATTCAGAGAAGCAGCAATCCATTACCTTAACGGATGAAATGAATGTCATCCATTTAGGAATTTATTTTCCTTCCGAGTAGAGTCCATAAGCTACTGATACATGCACTTCTACCTTCATCTTTACTCTAAAATCTAAAATTCAAAATCCCTAATCGACCAACAACAAATTCCCAAAATTAAATCATGATAATCTGCAGAAAAGTAGTAGATTCTTACCAATTACAAGATTTCTTGATCGAAGACTCTCATTCGATCCTCCATCGATCTCGAAATTGATTTCTCTCCATAGCCATCTGTTTTGTCTTAAGAGAGAGAGATGGGGAAAGAAAAGGAAAGCTGGAGATTTTTCACGCGTTTTTTTTTTCTTTGGCCAAAAATACAAACCAATTACAGAGTGACACGTCATCGTCTCTCTTGCCAATCAAAATTTCTCTCAAGAGAGACAGCTCTCTCGAAAATAAATCATTCTGATTTTTTTTTTTTTACTTTTAATCAGAGAAACGATCAAGAGACCCCAATTTGCACACCGTTGGAGATGCCCTAACAAATATCAAATCACTGTAACCATCTTTAAGTGCGTGTTTATGTTGACAACATGTTTATGTTGACAGTGCCGGCCCGGTAAATTTGGATAGCAAAATTAAACCCCATAAAAAGAAAATATTTTAAATTAGATTTTTACCATTAAAAAGAATATTGTAGTTGTCTCTAAACGCCCACAATATTTTTAAAAGGCCCTACAAAAATTATTGTTTATAAGAAAACTTAACAAATTTTTAGATAAAAAGGCCCTCAAGTTTTGAGGCCCAAATCGGTGGCTTCAGTAACTTGTCCTCTGCGCCGGCCCTGTATGTTGACATAAAAAAATCACTGTAACCATCTTTAAGTGCGTGTTTGTCCAATTCGTAAATTGCAAACAAGTCTTATCCTTCTTGAAAGAATTGCTGAATGGGCCGAAAGAAATTGAGGATTTCGAAATTGGAGGACCATAAAAATGACAAAAAAAAAAATCTGAAACTCAATCATTACGTACTACTCCACTTGGAGAAAGCTTGGGCCAACTTTTGGATCTTGACGGAAGGAAGAAGGGCATATAGTATATCATGTATACGCCATGTACCGATAATATACGTATTTGAAAGCGATGACTAAGTTTAAATTAGTAGATAAAAAATAAGTGACTGTACATGTTAAATAACCTGTGCCTCCTTTTTTTTTCTTTTTTTTTTTGTGAAAAAATAACTTGTGCCTTTTTGTTTTGAAACTTCAATTAAATCCATGTGTTACACGAAATGGGCCAAAGTGGTTGAGAAACTAAAGAAAGGCCTAGGAGTTGTACACGTTAAGCAATCACCTGCTACATAAAAATGATAGGAAAATAAAGACATTTTTTTTTTAATCTTCATCTAAAAAATGATAGGAAAATAACTACTACTACTTTAAAGAAAGTTAAGGACGAGAAAAATTCACGATCAACTTTGTCCTTGGATACAGACGCACATAGCTAATAATGTTATTAGAAGAGATTAATTCTGCCACTGACAAATACTATCTTTTGTCGTTTTCACTGTTCTATCAAACACCTTTTAAAAGAAGTTTAAGCAAACAAAGTATAAAGGCAACGAAGATTTTTTGTCCCGCATCGAGTTTTGGGGTCTGGACGTAAACACTAAACAATGTAAGTTGTAACTTGTAAGGTCCGTCTCTACTCCTAGGCAAGGTAGACAAATGTCAAGGATCTATATTTCATAAAAAATTTTAGAGAAAAGAGGCCCAAATTTTTTATTTTTTTTTAATTACTAAGTGGGTTTTTTTTTTTTTTTGCCAATAGGTCTCATTATATATTGAGATGATATTGTAAGTTTGTAAAAGCATTTCCATCCATCATACACTATATGGGTGTCTCAAAAATATTATTTTAATTATTTTATAAAAAATAAATTATTTATTTAAATTATAAATCATAAAAAGAGAATTTGGCCAATAATATAAGGACAAGTGGAGACACAGTTTCTCAAAATTTTTCAAACTAGAATTGTCTACCCTCTCTCCTACTTTTTTATTATTTTTTATTTTTTTAATCTTGAGACATTCTTCAAAACACTACTGTTGAAGATGCTCTAAGTTGTTGTCGTGCAAGTGGAAAATTGTTTACCTTAAAAGAGTAGAAAGAACCCACGTGACAGCTTTAACAATGAGAAGAAATAATTGGATCATGAATCCACTTAACGGCCTACCTAGATTCATTTTATAAGAGAAAGCAACTGGGATTTCAGAAAAAGAAAAACCAAAAGCTAGATTATTCACAAACAATAATGTCAAAATAAAATTTTCAATTTTTTGTTACCCTTGAGTTTATTCATAAAAGTGTTTATACATGTAATGTGAAGTTAACTTTTAACTGAATAAACTGTAAAAGTTTCTTCCAACATTATTTATATATACGAATTTTAAATTTGATACTATTTACTTTCTCGACTCATAATACTTTCTTCATTATACAGGACTTATGGTATATAATGACAACTAATTTTATCAAAAAATTAAAATCATTCTAGCAAAAAAAAAAACATTATCTGAATTAACACTTGATTTTAAACGGGATTATTACGGATTAAAATTAGTAAAATATCTATAGCTTATTATAAAATCCAAATTAGCTTGTGATCTATCTTGATTTCATTTAAATTTATCTATATATAATAATATTTGAGAAGTGTTTTTGCTGACGTGTCGGACTCTCGGCTCTTGTTGAGTCATTAATTTTACGTAATTACTTAATTACCCTTAATGAAATCTAATTAATTTTAGAAAAATTAAATTGAATTTCGGAATTAACCAGGAAAAAATAATTTTGGAAACAATAAACATGATAATTAACCAAAAAAAAAAAAGGAACAACGAAGTACCAGTTAGGAAGCTTTAATTGAATTCATCGTGTTCTTCGTCGTGTGAATATAATTCTTCTAAACGAAGGCAAAACTTGAAATCCTAACATAAAGCATATATTCATAGCAATAACAGAGATCTAATAACAGAATAGTCAAGCTTCTCATAGTATCTTGCCCATGTTATGTCTTTAAGACGTCAATACTATCCTGCACCCTATAATTCTAACCAATGAAAAGAACAAATATTTATTACCTTGGATACAGATTTGACGAAGAAACCTTGGATAAAAACTCGACGAAGAAACTTGTAAGTGTTAATGTATGATGAAGCTTCCATGAACGTGAATTCGTGATCATAATGAAGAAACGTGTGAATGGATCTATATATAATAATATTTGAGAAGTGTTTTTGCTGACGTGTCGGACTCTCGGCTCTTGTTGAGTCATTAATTTTACGTAATTACTTAATTACCCTTAATGAAATCTAATTAATTTTGGAAAAATTAAATTGAATTTCGGAATTAACCAGGAAAAAATAATTTTGGAAACAATAAACATGATAATTAACCAAAAAAAAAAAAGGAACAACGAAGTACCAGTTAGGAAGCTTTAATTGAATTCATCGTGTTCTTCGTCGTGTGAATATAATTCTTCTAAACGAAGGCAAAACTTGAAATCCTAACATAAAGCATATATTCATAGCAATAACAGAGATCTAATAACAGAATAGTCAAGCTTCTCATAGTATCTTGCCCATGTTATGTCTTTAAGACGTCAATACTATCCTGCACCCTATAATTCTAACCAATGAAAAGAACAAATATTTATTACCTTGGATACAGATTTGACGAAGAAACCTTGGATAAAAACTCGACGAAGAAACTTGTAAGTGTTAATGTATGATGAAGCTTCCATGAACGTGAATTCGTGATCATAATGAAGAAACGTGTGAATGGAGACGGTTGATGGTTTTTTTTTTTTTTTTTTTTTTTTTTTCTTTTTTACCTTTTATGTAAACAGATCTGTTTCATAATTTATCGGAAAAGGAATTATACCAAAAAAAAAAAATCGGCAAAGGAAAATATTTATTATAATATTGATATATTTAAGATGATAATGTCAAATATCCGAAAATTATTAATCGGAGCATTAATATAAACATAAAAGAATACTATTCTAACCTTACTCAAATTAATAAGATTTAGATATCCGAAATTAATCGTAAACGGCTATTAATTGTTAAACTAATTAAAATAAAGATCAAACGTACCGGAATAGATGAAATTTTTGGTATGATCGTCGTGTTCGTCGTCGTTTCAATCTAAATATTTGGAAAAAAAAACGAACAAAAAAATAATATGTAGATCAATGAAAGAGAACCCACCAATTTAGAAACGGTTATCACGCCATCGTATTGTTCGTCGGATGATTATAAGTCTCTAATCCGGAGATTGACTTGAACCCTGACAAAAACATATATTCATAGCATAAAATCGTAAATAGAAGGTAGAAGACCACCTATTAATCGGTTGTAACCTTGTGCAAACTCGATTTAATTTTGACGAATGAAATGTTGGTGTGGTGTCAAAACTTTCTTGGGGAGACTCGAAGATGAGAGAGCTGAAGTCAGAGATAGGCAGAGAGGTTTACATGTGAATTAAGGTATGGAGTGCTAACGTGAACATGAACGTGAACGGCGGTGATTTTTGCACATAATAGCAATTAGATCGAGTTTTGGAAAAAAATATGGATCAGCGTGACATGACGCATATGGATGCCATGCATGTCTATCTATTGTAAATCAAAAATTATATTATTGTTCCGCCTTATTTTTGAAACAGAAAGGAATTTTCCCTTAAATTTTAATATATTTTATAAGATAGTATCAGATATAGTAGTAAATCTAAAATAGTTGTTATTATTCCATATTTTTACCGAAAAAAGTAAATATTATTTTAAATAAACATGGATAACAATGAATAAATGGTAGTTTTACAAATATTTATTATTATGATAGTGATTTGCTTATTAAAATATGGTAAATTTTCTTTTCCTTTTTTGTATTTATCGTCGAAAAATTTAGAAACTCTAAATCATGCACCGCCTCCTATTCAATATAAATACCTTGCTCATGATATTCAATTTTAGATCATAACTAACCCTTGTTTTTTTGTTCTTTTTTTCAAACTTTTTTTTGCTTCTACCTAATTTTAATTTTTCTTTTTATTGTAGGGTGGATGTATAGAGGGGACGATGTGAACTGGTGTATGGAAAATTTGGACCTAATTCAATGAATAAACAGGTGATCTTATAGTTTATATGTACAAATTTGATTTTTTTTTTTTGTATTTATGGTTTCACTATTTTCACCACTAATCAATTTTTATAATCAAAAAGTTTGGTTTCAACTTTTGAGAAGGTAATCATCGATGGTTTGGTATGTTTCTTTTTGTTGTAAAAAGATGAGGTACCTCCCGATTTTGTTGAGGTACATGTTCTTATTATTTTCAAATATGTCTTTTCTCAGAAGAAACACTCAACTTTTGATAACACAGTTGCTACAAAGTCAGAAAGATGACTTATTTCAGGGATAAAT